CCAATGCAAGCCAGAAGTCACATTATTTCAATTCAAAAAATTTTCCTCGGAAAGAGATAGATAGATGACCGACACTACATTATTGCTAACAGGAAAAGTATGATGTACAGGTGCAAGACACTATTACTTTGATGTGGAAAGAATATATTTTAAAATAAATAAATAATTGTTCGTTTGTCATAAGACAATATAGTACTGTACATACATTAGTTTCTTGTAGATGAATCCACATATATTACACTAACGTTTCGTGCACACATGAGCAAAGCATCTCATTTTCATTTTTTCCAAAGAATTAAACGTTTACTATTAAAAATGCAGGCCTATTGCATGTAGACGTATAGATTTCATATACTGTGAAATATCAATTTAGTTTAACCATTTGTTCGCCTCTAAAATTAGCTTAAAATAGAGTGTAGAGCTAAACTTAAGAACTTTAAAAACACAATTATATATAGTGATAAAGTACAGTATGTATATGATGATGATGATAATGTACTCTCTTTAATGAGATTTTGACCTTTTATGATATTTAAATATCAAAGTTACTTTAATAAGAATTATTTTACTTAACGAGAACCGATCAGATTGTATGGGAGGAGTGATGCCGAAATCATTCAATCGTAAATTTGTTTACATTGATTGTCTACTTATGTGGAATGACTTACAAATTCCGCAGTGCGTCACGCTAATAAGGTTACGGTACATATTTACAATATTCTCTTTAGTTTAAATTAAAAAATATGGTGGTAAAAAAATCCGAGGCTAACGGACATTTTGGAATCAATAATTTACTTACGAAAAAGAACAAATTCGGATAAGATCATGAAGTAATGTTTGGGTCAATCTGTGCGTTTGTGGCTCTTCCCATATGAGAAAATACAGTAACTTCTTGCTAGGCGCCGGTGTGAGATCATGTAACGGACTCTGTTAAGTCTTTACCTAAAATAGTTAACTTATAGGTCTATTACTTCATAAATCTCTATATGGAACTTATCAAGTTAGTCTACTAGTGCTACTCGGACTCTCCTAGGAGTATCAAAACAATAAACGCTACGGAGAGACATACGAGAAAAAACTACCCGGGAAGAAGAGTCAATGTCCGATATCACTGGTAAACTTTCGGTGACAGTTCGAGTACTCAATTGAAAAGAGAGGTCAACCCAGCGCCATAACTAGCCTTTTATGCGCCCGGTGCGAGCTTCCGTAACTTTTTTTTTCCTCTTTCCGCCCTGTGGGCACTAAGAGGGCCTCTTTTTGCAAGCCCATTATGGGTTCGGCCAGGCCCACAATGGGGCTGCCGGGTGGTGAGGGGCGGGGCCCGACATATCCGAACGGACCACCTCCCGAAAAATTTCTGGGGATTTTTTCGACCCGTTCGGATTCGAATCTGGGTCCCCCGGAGCGGTAGGTTGCCACCTTGACCGCTCGGCCATCCGGCCGCCAAAGCTTCCGTAACTATGCCCCAAAACTATGACCCAGAACTTGGTCCGGGTCATTTCTGCGCCATGTGTCTGGGCACCGCTGGCACCACCCTACTTACGGCATTGGGTCAACCAACACTCTAGCAAAGAAGTCTTTGGGAAATATCGGAGGAAAGACTCTTTGAAAATTTCGAATCAAATAGTAAGAGTTTCTCCCTCATTCGGAGCTTGAATTGTGCTTTTTTTTTCTTTTGCATAAAATAAATATATTAATAAATGTAAAAACGAAAAAAAAATTATATTTCGGAAGTTAGTTTTATATAAAATTATAACGACTAGCGCCATCTAAATTCAAAAACGTTCCGATGCCGAAACGAAATATCTCGGGTCAACCGGTCAAGATCAGCAGGTCGCGATCAGAGATACGTCAGGAATAACAATGGACAGGTAAATGGTTTTTTTTTTTTTTTTCAAAGATTCGTTTGTCAAAATTCGATTTTGCAACGTTCCCGTTTCCAACTTCCCAACGAGCAACGCATGCGCAAATATCGCACTATCGCCTGTTTGTAGAAAGAGTGTCGCCATTTTGTATTTTATTTTGACTCGGTTTTCGGTCTTCGAGTATCTACAAATCTGACTTTTTTTATGCGCGCATGATTTGGACACCTAAAACTCTGTGCCAAATTGCAACTCCTCACACGTACTCTAAGGTGTGTAGCCGTTGACGGCACCGCAATTTTATAAACAAGACATAGTCTTAGACCAGGCATGGCCAACATAAGGCCCGTCTAATGAATTTAGGCTACAAGTTACACTTTATGCCGTTTAACAAAAAAAATAAAAATAAAAAATATTTTATCAAAATAGATAGTGAGTTTATGTAATCTCATTGTGTAATCTCTTCTGTCATAACGTGTTTCTAATGCTTGAATTTGTTCATATGTGGTAGATGAGTAAGGAAGTGNACAAGTTACACTTTATGCCGTTTAACAAAAAAAATAAAAATAAAAAATATTTTATCAAAATAGATAGTGAGTTTATGTAATCTCATTGTGTAATCTCTTCTGTCATAACGTGTTTCTAATGCTTGAATTTGTTCATATGTGGTAGATGAGTAAGGAAGTGAAAATTACCAAAAACCTATGTTAGCTCATATTTGATTGCTTAAAAGGTGAGTGTGCTTTGCATTATGAAATAACTCCAGGTAAATGCAAAAAATACCATTTATCTGAACGTCATAACCACAGGAGTCAGCACAAAACATACACACACACACACACACACACACCTATACATACACCTATACCTAATTTAAAAGTATATTGCTACATTCTTCCAAGTTTATTGTATTTAAAACAGTGTGTTCACTGTTGCATACTATACATAAAAGTATTTAATACAATATCTCAAACATGAATAAGTTTCCCGGTTTTATGATGTTTCCTGGTAATCCTGACTGTAAACAAAAAAGGTGAGCTTTAAGTATTCAGAAACTTCAAATAATAATTGTAAGATTACACATTTTATTCTGCCTCTATCTCTATTATTCTCTTAAACTCAACTATTTGTATTGTGCAAAGTACCAAAATGATTTTTAGGAATGCTTATACTAAATTATAGAAGAAACAACTGTAGAGGAGAAGGTGGTATTATGGAACACTGCGAGTATTATGGAATCACCCCATTTCGAACTGATAATAAAGGCGAACTGTAGCGGAATGTGGCCGAACTAAACTAGGCAGACATCCATAGCAAGGGGAAAACCCGTTTTACTTCAGTTAAATGGTTGTCCGTATTTAATCAGCAAATTTTTTTTTTTTTTTTTTCAAAATTCGCAAGTTTTGAATGCTAAGTGAATTTAATTATTTTTAAAATATAAATCGTACTTTAATAAGAATTATTTTACTTAACGAGAACCGATCAGATTGTATGGGAGGAGTGATGCCGAAATCATTCAATCGTAAATTTGTTTACATTGATTGTCTACTTATGTGGAATGACTTACAAATTCCGCAGTGCGTCACGCTAATAAGGTTACGGTACATATTTACAATATTCTCTTTAGTTTAAATTAAAAAATATGGTGGTAAAAAAATCCGAGGCTAACGGACATTTTGGAATCAATAATTTACTTACGAAAAAGAACAAATTCGGATAAGATCATGAAGTAATGTTTGGGTCAATCTGTGCGTTTGTGGCTCTTCCCATATGAGAAAATACAGTAACTTCTTGCTAGGCGCCGGTGTGAGATCATGTAACGGACTCTGTTAAGTCTTTACCTAAAATAGTTAACTTATAGGTCTATTACTTCATAAATCTCTATATGGAACTTATCAAGTTAGTCTACTAGTGCTACTCGGACTCTCCTAGGAGTATCAAAACAATAAACGCTACGGAGAGACATACGAGAGAAAACTACCCGGGAAGAAGAGTCAATGTCCGATATCACTGGTAAACTTTCGGTGACAGTTCGAGTACTCAATTGAAAAGAGAGGTCAACCCAGCGCCATAACTAGCCTTTTATGCGCCCGGTGCGAGCTTCCGTAACTTTTTTTTTCCTCTTTCCGCCCTGTGGGCACTAAGAGGGCCTCTTTTTGCAAGCCCATTATGGGTTCGGCCAGGCCCACAATGGGGCTGCCGGGTGATGAGGNGCCTTCAAAAACCATACTTATAGTTACACTAGCGAAAAATCCAATTAGGAACATTTAGTTTAATAGTTACAAGTACTTTTTGCACAAAAAATGTGGGTGTAGTTATGATACCTTGTTTACAATTCACTAAAATGTAATTGGGGTTTCATAATACCACCTTCTCCTCTACTTTTATATATTATAAAAACAATTTTTTGTACTTAAAGCTTGTGTACAAAGAAATATATATACTAAAAGTAATATTTAAAGACATATACAATACCAAAGAAACGAAATTAGTGTAATATCAAAAGAAAATGAAGCAAAATAAAAATAATGTTTAGTATCACAGATTCATTAACACACTACAATTCAGTTTATTCTAATGCATTTTGTAGTCATTGAATAAGAAAATTACCAGTTGCAAACATGTTAATCAAATATGCCAACTTGTAATTGGTGATTTTGTTTTGCACCAAGCTTTCTCTTTCAATTGCAATTTCATTTGGACTGATTACAGTATGCGTAACATCATAGGAAACAACCTAAATTTTGCCGCAGATTGCATACTTCCGCCCAACATAGTCTTTGCACAGTAAATGTTTGTAATTACGGGAAAAATTTATAATCACTCCACACGTCTGATTTACTGGTTAAGCTTTTTAAATATATGTAAACAGTTTATATGACTGGATGAAGTTCAAATAAATACACCAACATTAAAAATTCAGTAGAAAAAACTTTAGTAGAAAAAACAAACAGAGATTGTAATAATAAAACGTAAATTATGCTTTATTGGAATGAAAAATTTTGAATTGAAATAATATAATTTCCGGTTTTTATTGGATGTTCTTATACTGTTAATTGGGCCTCCTGCCTTTAAGATTTTTATATCTGATCTTGATTTTCGTTTTCCAGATTAAGAAAGGACAGACACCGGACAGTGAAAATTTGAAAAAAACTTTCAAATTGCAGCCCAATAATTCAACGTTTTCAATTTATTTCATTTTTAAGTATACATTTCATATTATATTCGTCTTAAAAGATTAAATACAGTACACTCGAATTACAAATTTAATCGATCTCGAAGTCATATTCTTTAACACAAGTACCAATTTCCAAGGTACCCCAGTAATCTTTGTCACTTACTTCGGCTCCTCCATCAGTCTGGCATTTTAATTCAGTTCCGCATTTTCCTGAAGTAAACCAAGGTCCTCCACATTTTTCACCTTCATCCTAAAAAATTTAATTACAACTCACATCAGAAATAGTATTCGATTTGATTTTGTAACGCTTGAAAAATGGCATAATTAAGAAATCAATTAAAGTATTAAAGTAACGACGAAATCGCAAAATCTTGACTCATCAACTCTCGAAAAATGGCAAATCTCATTGTTGAGACCTTAATGAAAACCTTCTGAAAGCATTATTTACTTTACCCAATGATTAAAAATACGAGAAACATTGTTAATCTACTTCGATACACTTTGTAAACACTAATATATAGTTAAGATTCGTACATAAGATAGAATATTTACCTTTTCACATTCTTGGCAACATCCACAAGGGTCGCGAGTTAAACCAAGAGGACATTGTGTAATGTCTGGACAATAGTTCTTAAATTGTTCTTCTGTCCAGTGCCAGCAAGGGCATGACAAAGCGTAAAGACTATAAGGAAATTAATCTTTAGGTTATTTATATAAGTTTATACATAAGAAAGTGGTAAAAGTATCTAGGCAGGCTTACCTTCCTATCAAGGAGAGTAAAATTACAAAGCGCATCTTAACTTCAATTGTTAAATGAACAAATTTTGCAAGGGGAGAAAAGTATGATGTCATTGTTTACTTTATCAACGTCCTGTTTCTGTGATAATCACGTTTTGCTTACGAAAAATACAGCTAAGCATTTTAAAAATTTGAAATTTCAAATTTTTAAAATGCTTAGCTGTGTTTTNTCGTGCTTTATAGAATTTAAATTATTTATATTTACAAGAGAATTGATTTATAGTAATTATAAACTACAATAATTATTATATATATATATATATATATATATAATAATTATTGTAGTTTATAATTACTATAAATCAATTCTCTTGTAAATATAAATAATTTAAATTCTATAAAGCACGAGTGTCACAAATAGGTGGTATAATGTTTGTTGCTTGCAGCGCCAATAGTGCCACATTGGCGAGTTTTGGTACTAATATTTTTATGACTGATAACTTCCCATAGACTTACCTCTATAACATATTTAATTTACACAGCTTTAAAATAAATTCTAAACTTTGTTTTAGGAAAAACGTGGCAACATCCACATTCACTTTAGTTATACTGGTGGGAATATATAAACTATAAAATTTATATTATTATATTGGTCAAATTGTAAAAATGGTATAAATAAATTTATAAAATATTTTATCTTCCAAATTCAGTATTAAGATTCTTGTAGACTCCAGTTATTTTATTAGCAGAGGAAGTTTATCGATATCTTGTATATTTAATAAACATTTTTCAGATAAAACTAGCTTCGAGTAACTTTATGTATTTGTAAGCATTTAGTGGAATTTCTATATTATACAGTACACGAAAATTGTTTAAAATGATCGATCGTAATTTGCTTAAACATCATAATAATTAATAAATTAATCAGCATTTTTCAAGCTGAACTTTTCTAATGTATTAATTCGCCTGTTTTCAAGTACGATTGATGAAGATTCGGGTTCGTATCCTCAGACATTTGCAAAGATTTTTTTTTTTTTGAAGAATTTCTCATCACGTTAGAATACATTTTCTATCGGCAAAAATATTTTTTTTTTTTAGTTTGAAATAAGGAAAATCTTTAAAAAGTATCGATTGATAAATTAATACAGTAGTGAGTTAGGTGATGTTCTGCAATTTTAATATATAGGGTGATTATAATGTGACAGAAGGGTCGGCATCCACCGTCTTGGGAACCACGTCGATCACACTGCGGTGGGAATTTCGGAAATTTGATGTGTAGGCCAAATTTGTACACTTTAAAGTGCACGTTCTTTTGAATAAATTTTTATTCCCCTACAGACAATTTTGAAATACCCCGAAGATCTAGAAAAATGATATACACCGACACATTTTGCTTGCAATTTCTGACCGGTAAAGCTCGTAACAGTTATAAGTTTTTGTTATTATACTCCGTAAATTTTCTGTTCGACTAAGATAAGGAAGTCTGGAAAGCCAGTCTAATATATTTGTTTATGTTTTCATTAATATAACAGATCTTAGTTGGTTTTGATGCATAAAGTGGAGCATTGTCTCGTTGAAATATCCAATTGCTTCCACCAATTAGAGATTGAAATACACTTAAATTATTATTTTTTTAACATTTCTTGATATTTTGAAGAATCGACTTTTTTAACAATGACAATATCAGTTTTCCCATTGAATCCAAAAGCATCCCAAACCATTACATTGCCACTTTCTAACTCATTCTAACTTATGCTTCTCTTTTCACACTGTGCCAATAATATCCATAACCATCTGGTCCATCTAAATTCTACTTTTTTCATCAGAAAACACAACTTTTTTCCACTCCTCTGTCCAGCTCGTGACGGATTTAGCCCACAGTTGCTTGTGAACAGGTATCAAATTAGGTAACACTTTCATTTTTAGTATTTTATGTTGTTATTATCAGGAACATATCAACACATTTTGGTAAATTAGCAGCTACCTATCTAGTGGCTAGATGCTAATTTACTTGTTTTTCTCTAAGAAAAAAAATCTTTCGTTTTTCAGTTAATTTTTTCTTGCGTCCACTTCTCACCGTTTTCCATATTTTTCTTGTTTTGTCATTGGCTACAGCAGTTTTAGAATGATTATAATAGATTTCAAAAGTTTAAGATGATTGGCTGTTATAATACCGGGTATGATATAACTTTCCATTCAATTGTTCATTAAAAATATATTTACATTTGTAGAATATTATTACTCTGAACTATTCAAAATGAACTGTCCTTATAATTTTCGAATTGAGTTGAATTAATTAAATTTTAAAATTAAAAAAAGGAAATGAAAATCGAATCGAACTACTGTATTTATGTTACTTTAGAAGCACCAATAATATACTTTATTGCAGCTAAATGAATTTACGATGAGTTTTCGGGTGGGTTTTTGAGCTCGGAATCTTCTAACATGTGGATTTGGATCGATTGTATGATCAAAAGTTAGTAATTTTAAGTTTCAAAGAAAGCTTAAATTAAAAAACAATAATAATAATTAATTGGTATATCAAAGCGACTTACTACAGGGCATATTAATGGACAGTCCTTAGATGAATCAGATTTGGATTTTATATTTGGAATATATTATCACGTGAATTTTTCCATTAAGGAAAACTTATTTTTAACTTGGCAGAATTCGTAAAACATAAATAAAAAGACATTTTAAATTAAATATTTCAAATTGACGGCCGAATGTCAGGGATTGTTAAAGACATACCGTTTTAAGGAAACCGAGATACAATCCTAGGGAATGTTTCTTAAGAGGTTTGTCCTAAATATGTCGGGTCCCGTTCGTTTAGAGCAGCGTTTCTCAAAGTGGGCGATAACGCCCCCTTGTGGGCGCTGGAGGCTTTCAGGGGGGCAGTAGAAGGCTCAAAGAGAATTGGGGGGCGTTAAGGAAATATAGAGGGGCGACGGCAGACAAATTTTATATATAAAAATTCGACTGAATATATATAAAATGTTGACATTTTATATATTTTTTATTTTTTATTGAAGGTCACAACTTGAATATTTCTAACACATTGACTTTTATTTTAGCTCAGCGTTTCTCAAAGTAAGCAATAACGCCCCCTTCTGGCGCGATGAATAGATCTATGATAGAGGCAGGGTATTGAACGGTGACCAAAGGCAAAATTGGGGCTGATAAGAGGAAACATTGCGTTTAATGGTTTCCAGATGATGAGAACAATGTACAGTAAGGGCACAAAGTGTGAGATTCATAGAAAAGTTTTCCTAAGAATATTTCCAATCCTTTTCTCACACAAGAGAAAATGGGTTAGGGGGCGTTGGGTATAACTTTATGGAACAAAGGGGGCGGTGGATCGAAAAAGTTTGAGAATCATTGGTTTAGAGCCTTATATAATATAAACAGTTTATTTGTTAAGTTATGGTAACGCAATACTTGGGCGATCTGCCTAAGGAGATGCCTTCCGGGAGGTCTTTCTAAGGAAAACTGGCCCATGTTTAGGCGTTACAGACGTGGAGAAAACACGGAAAACTCCACGTGGTCAGCCCGTCCGAGCGAGGCACGAACCTACGACCGAACTCTCAGTGTTCAGGGTACGAAGACCACTCGGCCACTGGTGGGCACCTATATAAACAGAGTGCGGTCAACTGGGGGATCAAAATATGATTAGCTACTGTCGATCACGTGGTTTATGGACGCCATTATGAGGGTAGCTTTTGACAAGTGAGTGTAAATCAACTGTTTATTACGATAAATAACAGAATTGGAAACTTTATATACTAGGTAATTTCGATCTAAAATAGATTCTAAACATCAAGTTAGTTCTTACTTTCCTATACTGAGGTTAGAAATCATTATTTTAGCCGTTAGATCTGTCGATACATCTATATCGCTCTTAAAGCTACCATATGAAAATAGATCATGTCGGGTTGTTCAGCCATTAATTGCTAAAATAGAGCTCCTAAATTCAAACTGCATCGACTTCCTAGCGATGAAGCTAGGAGTAAAAAAAAAAACATGGGCGATTAAAGTAAACAGGAAGTCAATAGTTTCATTGTTTATTATCATTACATAAATGTTAACATTTTCTGTATTGTCATCTTTGACATTTCTGATTGTGATTATTTGGAATGTATGTATTTGAAATCAATTGTCAAATAAGAGTATAAGTCTAATAATTTGGAATGTTCCAACTTTTTTGTAACCCTTAACAAATGTACCACCCCTTGTAACAGAGAAATTACCCTTTTTGTTAATAAATGATTGATATTTAGTGATTATCTGCATTCCTTGCAAGGAATGCAGATAATCACTATTTGTTACTATGTTACACTATGTTATTTGAGTTTTTCTTGTTTAAAAATAAATTTTATTGATTTTTTTAATAATTTTTGTCATTAGTTGTTATATTTTTAAATTTAAATACATATTTTTATATTATTTATATTGCAATAGTGTTGTGAATAAATGTGATCGACTAAATATAATTTTTTTTAATATTTTCACTTTTTTGCTTCTAGCCCTGTTATTGTTATATATTTTGTCCATCACTTATAAACTACAATTATTACGAACATAAAAATTATTTCTAAAAATGTTTAACTTAATATAACTTCTTTCTGAATCTGATTTCTGTTTTTAACTAACATTGCTCATTTAAATGCTAAGCAGTGCTATGACACTGCAACTTTGGCCCCAAGATGGCATCCATGCGTTAGAGTGGCCATACTCTGTTTATACAGTATACCATTCTGGCCGAACTTGCCATAGCGAGTCACTCTTAGTGTTCGAGGGATGGAAAGAACCAAGAATGAAAATGGTAATCATTTCAAACTGAAAATTTTTAATCATAAAAAAATCGAATACAATTATATGGAAAAATCTTTATTATAAAAATGTAAATCCATTTATAAAACAGTACGAATCCACTTTTCCGTAATTGCTATTCATAAACTTGTGGGAGGAGAAGATATTTTCTGTCTAGGAATATGAGAGTTGGAATTGTTGCGTTTTTCAATGGAATTATTTGATACCAAAATTTTCTGCTTTTCCCTCTGGCCAAATTTTTAAAATATAAAAAAAAATTATATTAATAAAATATACGTCAATGAAATAAAATGAAAAACTTACCCTCAACTCTTCTTTTAATGAATTGATCTCTTTTTTCATTTCCGTAATGTTTTCGTTCAACTTTTTTATCTCCTGACAAAATAATTTATATATGTAAATATACCAAATTATTTTAATTATATACAACAATTATTATTATTAAATTTAATCTACCTCATCCTTATTTAATAGTACGGAATCGATTTCTGTCTTCATTGACGTAACTTTTACTTCTAATGCTGATAATTCCTGGTCAATCGTACGAGATAACGATGTTGTAAACATGTAAGAATTTAAACTTGCAAAGGAAGATTCGTAAATATTCTTACCTGAGCTTTAATTTTAAACTGATCCAATTTTTCCATCACGGATTTCATTTCTGCGGCGATATTCTAAAGAAAAAATTTACTATAATTACCGTTTCTAAATAGATATAAAGATATCTTAATAGAAGATCTTACGTTTATCATTTCTCTCCCATTCATAATACTCTTTATTGCAAGTTCCAGATGTGTTTGCACATCTCTTTGATGACTTTCTAGTTCTTTAATGGTTCCCTGGAAAGTTTTTAATGGAATGTACTCGAGAAAGCTTCGGGTTACGCTATAATTCATTTAAGTTTTCGACTTACTTGAAAGGTACATCCAATCGAAGTAGCTAAACTACAGATTCTGGGTTTCATTAGGCATTGTAGTTCGTGTTGATTAACCTAGAAAGAACTAACGAATGTTCACATAATAAATATGCGTAAAGATAAAATTTAACTACGAATGACTTACTTGATTGTAAAGAATTTGTTCATTACAGTATAGACACACTATTGGTTTTTTGGGACAGTGTTCCAGATGTTCCTGAAAGAGAAATTAGTTTACGCATATCTTTTACCTGTGAAAATTTATATTAAAAAATAATTTTAAAAAAGCCTACATCTTCATCTTTAATAGAAATTTCTTCTTCGCAATGTTGGCACGAAATTAGTCTGTGGTTGCACGTCTGAGTTAAGTGAAAGGCTAATTCTCTCCTACATACTTTTTCACCACAATCGCAAGGGCATAAAACTTGAACGAAGCCACAAGTTGTCAAATGTTTCTGTAAAATCACGAACACAAAAATTAAGAAATTATACTCAATATAAGTGTATTTAAATATTCATGATATGAAGTAAAACACATGGACTCTCGATATAGCGATCACCCGATACAGAGAACAATTTTCTTGGTATTTGCTCTTCTTTGTGTGTGGTTTTTAAGAGACACTACATCGAAAGCACTGCGTTATAATTATCTAAGCATGAGTATTAAAATAAAACTTATATAGCAGTAGTTACTAATCGGTGTGCCATGAAGCCATTGGAAAGTGCTTGTCAAATACTCCATTGATCACACGATTGATTTGTTTGTAACTTCCTTCTGTCGACTTATTTTAAAAGTAATTTTTCATGATTCTTCAGCATTTCTAATCAGTTAAAACATAAAATAGTTAAACAATTCCTTTCACATAGAATAAGGACAAAGATTTCCTCTAGAGAATGACTAGAAACATCTACATCATTTTTATGTAGTGAAATGTTAAGTAGGTTTGTTGAGCTAATATCGAGAGTTCTCGCTGTTTTAAAAGAATGTATTAATGCATATTACTATCTAATTTCCGAATAATTTAATGTAAATAATTTTTAATTAATGTTTAAAGGTGGATTGATTTCTGACATCTTTAATGATCATTAAGTACAAACAATGACAAATAGAAAAAAATAATAATTTACGCAATCCCCTCCCAGCTAAAAAATATTTTAAAAATATAGATAATACTTTTCTTTATCGCGATTTTAAAAGGCCTCAACTCGAAAAATATGAAACATTGAAAAAAGAAAAGCGGGGATTCCCCGTAGGGAATGGTGGATTAGAATCTTCCAAGGCCCCTAGACGAGGCCCAGGCAAACTTGAAATGTAGGGTCTCATGTACGTACAGTACAGCGTTGAGTTCAGACATTTTTCTTCCAGGGAGTTTTTTGAGGAAAAGATTTTTTTATAAAAGATCTGTTTGGGGCACCCTGTCGATGGGCCCCAGGCAATTACCTTTTTGGCCGTAGGATAACGCGCCACTGTCCTAGACACAGAAGAATGGGCCTTTCTACATAATTGTACGACGTCATAAACTAATAACGTATAATCGTAACTATAGAATTTTTTATTTATAAGTTACGATTTATAGTTGCGACGGTAAAATTGCGTTATTTTTTTTTTAATTTTAATTAAGACCACTCGAGACCCGAGGCTCATAGGCCAGTGCCTCACGTGCCTAGTTGTTAATTAAAAGATACAGGGTGGAGTAGAACGGTTCCAACATATCTGGGAATCATCGGATACGTCGGATCCCGATAAGATTGGATGTTGCACCATATAAAAGATTCCCGGTTCTCCCAGAGCGATAGATTAATGCCTTAAACGCTTCGGCCATTAAAATATGATCAGAATTAGATGAATCAATAAGATTAAAATATCTCATTGACAGACGTAATCGATAAATGGCATCTGTTGAGGACAGTTAAAATCTTATCGATAATATTTGATACGAAGTAATTGGGGGTCAGTTTCCCACAAAAGACCACCCTTGAAGAACCCTCCTCGGCAGATCGCCCATATGTCGCTTTGCCTTATACGAATAAACCAAACCATATTGTCTATGGATCTTATAAATTAAATACTTATTTAATTTTGATTCTCTTCACCATCGTGAGAATGCTTTTGGCACTACACAAAGGATGAAAGTAATTTAATAACTAACCAAATTAAATAAAAACTTACAAAGACTCGAGTTAAAAAATTACGAATATAAAAAATCGAAGAATGCATAAAGTTATGGTCCATTTGATGTCAAGTGTAGCTATTTACCGTCATTATAATTATTTTCTTTTATTAAGTTTCTAAATTTACCCACTTGATGGCTTCTACCAACGTATTCAAAACATTATTCCTTTATTATTTTCCGTAGTCTGAGGTTATTACCTTTCGACCATTCAAAGTTGAGAAAATTAGATACTTTTCCGACTATCTAACATCTACTTCTCGTATGTTTGTATTGTAATACGTGTACTGTGTTTCTCGCTTCTATTAAAAACACTATTATTAGTGGAATAAAAAAAATTGATAAATTATCAGTAGTGTCAGATACTATATAATCAGAATGGTCGGTTGACGTGAACGTTGGCTGGGCACAATACTTAACAATACGATCGAAAGCTGATAATTTACCTATTAAATATAACTATTTCATTATTGTCTTGCTAGCTACTTTATGTGTTTTCCGATGGGAAATGTCATTTTTTATTAAATTTAAATTAATTAAATTTTTACGTGCAACACCATATACTTTGAAGCTTGTGTCCGAAGTAGAATTCCAATTTCCATCGCCAGCATTAAAATTAAATGTTGAAGCCATTGGAAATTAAACTAAAACACTATATTTTAAGCAAGAAAATATCGTTTTTTTAGTTTAATTTCCGCTTATATCGTAATTTATAAATCTGTATTATGGTCAGAGACCACGATGAGAAAATTCTCTCGTACCATGTAAGTTAAAAGTCTTGTGTTTTCTACAGAAATTTTGTTACTTAACGAATAAAAAAAGCAAATAAAGATATCATTTGTGCAATTTTATTAAAAAGAGAAAATAAACCATTTAAATTTTTACTTAAAATTAAATGAGAAATTCGAAATAGCATTTCCTGTTTCGCATCATTATACAAGCGTGAAAATAATCACCGTATTGAATAAAAATACTAAAAACAACACTACATCAGCCATAATATTTAAAAAAAAAGGAAACATTACACGAGATTTTCAGCAATAATTAAAATAATTTTACATTTATAAATGAGCTTTGCGCAACATTGGAGCCAAGCCAATACACGCGAAACGACCACATGACATACACTTTCGAGAAGCAATCCGACAAATAATTTCAATAATTTACAAATAAGTAAAAGGAAAATTGGTAGAAATTTAATCTTCTAGGCTAGTAAACCGAAAATTTTACTGGTATTTAACGTAGGCTACGTCAATGTCGAGTTTTAGCGCTTGATATACCATGCGAAAACTAACGATATGTAGTTTATAGGGTCTCGAGAAAGGGTATTGAGTAGAATCACACGATTTCCAGAAGGTAATTTAGTCGGGTGATCGAATTTCCTACTCAGACAACCCGACAAAGCGAATGGCATGTCTAATTCTACACTTGAAAGTAAAAAATATCGATCAAGAAACGGGCGATTACCTCCAAATCTTGAAGTCGCGACGTTCGATTACATCCGAATTCCTTTTGAGTACAATACACTTCGGACTGTCTAACACCGTTCTGAATTTCCAAATTAGGAGAGATCTGAAAATGAAAAACACACATTTATAACAAGATAACCTGAAATGCTAATCACGTTTCAGTCACTAACGAGGACTATAGAAAACTGTACGTCGCATTAATGCATCGCCGATCATGCAATCAAGCCGGAATCCGGATTAAAATATAACTTAAATCATGCATCCGATCGTTACGTTGATCAATCACGACTCAAATTAATCAACGGATTAGTTTAATCCGAGTAAAACCCCCGTCGTTACGCCGCCTGCTCGATCGGCAGGTAGCGCAATAAGCTCCACCCTATTGATTTTTACGTTGGAAATAAAATTCAAAATTTCGGTCTTACCTGAGAGGGTGAGTAACAAGAGCGATGCACGGGACACTGGATGACGTTTTCGCACTTTTTAATACAATCGGGACAGAACGTGTGATCGCAGGGGGTGGATAAAAGTTGCTCGTCGATGATACCGCACAACTGGCATCTATGGCTATTTTCTTTAACTAGTTGCACAGTCAGAGGTTTTGTAAAGGAGAAACCTCTGATTTTCTCGCTCATGTTTCTAAGGGCACATGGCGTTTAAGGACTTTGACCTCGACTCTCTTCTGTTGCGTGAAAAGAATCTCTGTGCGCCTTTCACGACCTGAATTTCCTACCTGTATATTCAGTCCGCACAGAAACTGCTGAATCGATGTTATCGTTACGAATTACCTGTACATTATCCAACAAAACAAATAAAATGTCGTCAGTTTTATAATTTAAAATATAAAATTTTCACCCAGCAAATATTTACAACGGTCGAAATTAATCAGTTTATCAAACTGTTAAGTGATAAGCTGATTGGTGAAACATTCAAAATAATAATAATAATTTTTTTGATTGCCATCTAAAGTCGTCTAGTTACAACGTAACTCTTCTAAGGTTTCTATTATTACTCATTTAAATTTATATCTATGCATATTTTAATATAATAAAAAAAAAGTCTTTAAATGTAACTAAACTTTTCTAAATTGATGAATGGAATTTATTCATTGCATACTTTTATATTTCACTTATCATCATTCAGTAAAGATAGGGCGGAATTTAACTGTAATTAAATAGGCCAATTAGAATAGGAAAAGTTTTGTTATGACGTTGAATGTATTGTATATGGAACGAATAAATTATATAAGTGAAACTTCCAATAAAGGCCGTTTTTGAACAAAATAAACCTCCAAAAATGTTTCCGGCCGTTGTTCGGAGATTTGACTGTATATATTTAAATCGTTAAACATTTTTTAAGATTGAAAACTAGAAAATGTATCAACATTAAATTGCAAAGTGTCTATTGTTTGGTGTGCAATACTGACATTAGATAATGAATAGTTCTATTAACTGCATAAATATCAAATTACAAAATGATCTCTTCTTGTTCTTCACATTATGAATACAAATTACTTATAAATGATCTATTGTTTAAAAGTATTATAGAGTCAAAGTTGACCTTTGGAATAATCATTTGAGACATTATAAAAAATTCTGTAAATGGAATTATTTAACTGTTTTTTTTTTTAGAACAAGATCAATTTGCTAATAGATAAAAAGTATTTATTATTGTGTAAAATGATTCCTTCCACAACAGAAATCATACAAAAGTTCATTGTCCTTAAAGATCCTGGTCTGGTTTAGCTTGAATCAAATTCCTTGATAATTAAATTCATATACTTGAAACTTAATACAATCATGCATTATTTTCTGTACTTTGAATATTAATTTGTTAGGAAAGTTAAGGTTAATATTTTTTTCTGTAATTATGTAAGTTATTTATTAAAAATTGAAATAAAAGGTTGATTTATTTCCAAATAACTATATCTAATTAAAATCTTATTTTAGCATTATTAAAAGGAAAATTGAAATAAATCAAATCTTAAATCATTAGCTCATCTGAGGACTTTTTACTACTCATTAGAAATCAATCCAAATTTTATTGATTACAGAGACCCAAACAATAATAATTAAGTTAACTTGAAATGAGAAAAGAATCTCCAATCTGAATAGTATGATGAGAAATTAATTTAAACAATAACTTTTTATAAACAGTTTGATATTATTTTTAGAGTAAACTGCTTAAAAATGATATATTTTATAACAAATAAAGAAAATCCTTCAAAATTTAAAACACATAAATAAAAATTTTATTTACATTTCTTATATATATTACAGGCTTAAATACATTATTTAGACTGAACAGCTGTTATATTACTTATTTCAAATTTTTTTAATAGAAAGGAATTTTAATTATTAGTTTCCAGGCAACATAACTTATAAAAAATTATCATCAAATTTTACTTGTTTTCTTAGATAAAAGTGAATATTTGCTGATAATAGTATTTTTTAGTTCGTTATCTTTTAATGCTAAAATATATTCCTGCAAATATTAACATTAAAGATATGACAGACAGATGGCCGAGATGTTAGGGATCCAGCATAGAATACGTAAAAGTAACTCTCTGGTAATTTTTCAGGGGGTGGTTCATTCAGGATATGATGGGTCTGTCCCTTATCAGTCAACCATTCCAATTGTGGGTCTGGCCTAACTGTTAATGGATATAGAAAAGAAGGTCCTCTTAATGTTGAAAGAGTTCATAAAATTTTTAATTTTGTCTTAATATATTTAATTAACTTTTGATTTAATTTTTGTAAAGATAATAAATAATTTTGTTTAAACTAAATTTAAAACCAAAACACTGCAAACTGGAATCATTCAATTTTCCTGTAAATTTCGAGTTAATTATTTCAGTTGTTAGTAAAATATAATGCAATTTCTGTTAATAAAATTTTATGATACAAAACTAAAAACATTCAATTTACTTATTATATAAAAGATTTAGGAGTAGCATCAGTTCCATCTTCAAATAAAGCCCTTACATCAATTTTCATTCAATGTGATTTTATATATGAAGATAGAGCCAACTGATATAAAATGCATTTATACAGTAATTAAACCAAACTTTTTAAAAAATTATCTGTTGTTTTTTTTTTCATTTATCATATATAAAGTTAGTGAAAATGAGTTTTCTGAGCCAGAAAAATTTGAGATAAGTGAAACAACGGCTATTGCATTTTAAATAATGTACTGTAAAAATCTATTACAAAACTTTTTTATATCTTCCTCTGAAATCTTTTTCAAATTCTGAATTCTGAACCATAATGATGAAGGCAGGTGTTCCATTTTTTACCCAATATCTGAAAGAAAAGAAAAATATTGTTTTGTATATGTAGAATAATAAGAAAACTTACTGAAAAAAAAAAACAAGCTCCTGAAAAATCACATCTTACCTATCATCTCTAAGAATCTCTTGTAAAGTAGAATTTTTATTAACAGACACTAAACAATCTTCCTCACTATATTCAAAGTATATCTGTACATAAAAGCAATTTTAAATCAATAAATATTTTCATAACAAATTAATAAAATAATAAAATTAGTACCTGTAGTTTTTCTGGAATATAAGAATTTGTTTTATCCCATTCAGGCCGATTTTCTGGTGACCCAAACATGACTTTCAGATGATCAAAAAATCTGATTGATAATAAATTATGTAATGAATTAAATATTCTAATAAATTAATAAAAGCTGTACCTTGTATTTTCACCAAACTCTTGTATAAAATCCATTTCAGCAAATTCTGGATAAAGAAAATAAACAGGCCAAATGAGATTGTTATCTTTATCCAAATGTACATTTTGTTTAGCTGCAGGATGACTAGTTTCTAGATCGTGAATATCCCATTCCGGTTCCAGATGTGGCATTCTTGGTTTAATTTTAATCCCTCTTTCCTGTAAATCAAAATTTATTATTTAAATTCAATTATACATAAATATTTACATTTTTTTAGATAATATCTATCATTATCTATTATTATATGGCAGATATGGCAAAGCAGGAAAAAGTCATCTGGTACATAACATCTTAGAATTTCAGTTTACCACTTGTCTTTTTCAATCAGCTTCTTTACATTTATCCTAATTAAAGCACATTCCTTTCAGCTCTTCAAATATTATTAATCGAAGTATATAACTTCAGCATGCATAAACATTATTAAAGATAATTTCGCTCATCGTAAGGCATGCAGACTCAAAAAAAAGTTTGTCATCCGACTGTATGGTAAAACATGTGAATATTTTAAAAATAAAATTTGTATGTTTTTTTTTTATTCCCATTAGAACCAATATTTTACAAAGTTTTGCTGTAGACACTAAAATAAATTTATAAAGTGTACGCAGCATAGTACTTTGAAATTGTTTTTTATAAAAAATTATCAAAATGTAAGTTATTTTACATAAAAATATTAAATAGAATGTATCAATAAAACTTGCTATTGCAAATTCTTCAGTAGCATTACACTATAATCTATTATTATAAACAGAATATTTTTTATGTGAACTGGTGTGGTATTATGAGCAATATAATTTCTCATCCAATCATTGAAAAGCCATAAATAGTGAATGTGCTTTAAATTATGTTTAAAGATAAAATTATCCATACTAATTGTTACACAATGACAGCTAATATATTACATATTGTTTTTATTTCTCAATTACCATTATAGCTTGTTTCAACTTTCTATTACTCTCATCATCTTTTTTATTTTGTAAAGACTTTTGCTTCATTTCCTGTTCTTTAAGTTTCTATAATTTTAAATGAAATTGAAATCAAAAATTTTAATTAAATGAAACTATATTTATAAAAGTTCAAAAATGATAACTTTTTAAAAAATCAAGAACATATTAAATATACAATAAACATCACCTTCAGTTTCATTGCATTTATTTTGAGTTCCTTCAATGTTTCATTTTCTTTATCAATCTTATGTTTGTTAACAAAAACTTTATTCTGCATAATCATATTAGAAATTGCTATTAGATTTTTTTGTTGTTATTATTCTTAGGATTTGAATTTTAATAATAAAATAACAAAGGATACAGCTAAACCTTCACTGCACCATTCAATACATTCTTTATATAATTTTAATTCAAAAAAACACAGAGAACCTATAAATACATTTAATCATTATACATGTTTTCTGAATGCCTATAATTATCTTTATAATCAGAGTAGCATTTACTAGGCACTAAACTGAAAGCAAGTTTTTAGCAGAGATTTAAAGATAGAGACATAACACTAGATCTTAGATAAGCAATACAATAGCATTAACAAGATAAGTGATCACAGTTGTAACTAAAAGAATTCAGGAATCAAACTTGCCATACAAGTTTCCGAACAGATTTAGAAACAAAGATGACCTTAACAGTATTTACAATACAATTAATTCATTGACCTTTTAAATAAAGTTAATTTTTAAAATAATATGATTGATTTAAATTCTTTCTTGACACATGATTTATACTTATAGTTTATTTTTAAATAGAATTTAATTACATTTTTACATAAAATAAGACACTTAGTTACCTCTAACAATCGCTTTCATATGTGTTGTTTTTAATGTTCTTGCTTCAATAGCATCATTTAGAGATGAACGATAATTACCTGTGAACAAATTACATTAGATAAAACAACAAAGGATATAGAAGAAATTCTTGATGTGCAATCACCTAAATGGAAATGTGCTGCTGCTCTGTTTGTAAATAATTGGACACGCAGGTCGGCATCTTGACAATTTTGTTTAAGGCCCTCCGAATAGCAGTCAATGGCCCAACGATATTTCTTTAAACGAAAATTTTCATTACCATCTTCTTTATAATTTTTTGCTAACTCTATTGAAATAAGATAATTAAGACAACCAAAATTAGTTTTGAATTTGGATTTCAAACTCAGTTAATTCAATTAAAAATTTGGAGAAAAATCAATTGGCTGAATTTATCAATATTAAACCAACTAAGAAGTTTCTTGTGTAATTCCTGAATTTGGCATTATTCATTCATTTTGACAAAATTATATAAACTCAATACATTTCAAATATCAGAATGAATATTGTCTAAAACTATTTTTCATTGAAATATAAAATTTTAGAAACAGTGGATTTTAAACAATTCAAATTAAACAGTAATTATATTAACAAATCAGAGAATAGTGCTTGAACTTTCAAAATGATTATTAACTGCTATACATATTACTAATTAGTAAATTAATTATATATATATATATATAATAATTATTACAAAACTTCTAGTTATTCATGTATTATTATTATATTCAGTGGCAAATTAAGGATAAAGACATGTTTCATTCTGAAGGTTAATTCTACTAATTACAACTCAGTGACAAGTAGCAATGACTAGTATCAATGATAAAAATAGAAAAACTGATTATTAAAAAATCATTTCTAAATTAGCTAGCCAAATGAGTTGTATTTTCATAAAGCAAAGAAGTTTATAGTAAAACTCAGACAAATATTACCTAAATAGTTAATATATGTATATATATATGAAATTTACCTTCAGGAGTATTTTCATTTGGATCATATTTTAATTGTTGTAAGGCTTCTATCAGGGGTGAAACTTCTTCTCCTTCTTTTATCGGTTGTGTCCTAAATACCGGATGCTTTTCCATTTCCTTAAAAAATTTATATATATTATCATTAATAATCAATACTGAATAATTCTATTTTAAAATTTAAAAATTAAAAATCTTTAATGGATAAAAAAAAATGTAATGATATGTAAGCAAATTCTAAAAATTCAATTTAAGGTAGAAGAGAGATAAAAATTATGGATATATTTTAATCATTGGTGAAATTAACTGATAGTCACCTATAAACATATACTGGTAAGGAAATTTGTGCAAAATAAAATCTTACTACTTATATATACTGCATATCAGGGGTCAGCAGCCTATGGCATGTGTGCCAAACTTAGCACATGGGACAATTTTCAGTGGTGCTCTGATTGAATAGAAATGTAGTAAGTTATATTTTAATTATTAATTATACATTTAAATGGAATCCACAGTTCAGTGTACATTAAAAACAATCTATTGCTTGTATATTTACATTACAGCACATGCGTTTACATTCCATGTCACCATCTACATGTTGTACAGTACATGCACCTGACATATAAGAACATAATTCAATTAACAACTTAACTTCAAAATTATATATTTTGAAGTCCATTACAATTGGAAAAATTATATTTAACTAAATTGGAAGAATAATGTCAGTACCCAAAATAACATTACAACTTAGGTTCGGCACAACACTGCTGAAAGGTTGCTGAGCCCTGCTGTATATCATTACAGACACACAAATAGCCAAGTTCATTTAAATGTTTTCAGAAAGGTTTTATCATCATCTCCAAAACATACAACAAAAGCTGAACATGAACTGCTATGAATAATATACTTTTAAAAATTTAAGTTTCTTTAAAATTGTAAATAAAACATTGCAATTAAATTTAAAAATACAGAACCCTGATTGTTAAGTTTACAAATATGTGATTTTCATAAATAAAATAAGACAAAAATTTTTAGTTTGATTACTCTATTGGATGATTCAATATTGTTATTAAATCAAAAAAGAAATGTTTTCCTAAAATAATCATAGCACCATCATACATCTTGAATATTTGTGATTGTAGATAAAAACAATTTTATGAACTTGAGACTATAAATATAATATAATTTGATCAGTAACTTATTCTTAAATTTTACCAACAGAAATGAACATTTATTTTAAAAATATTTCATTAAATATTGAAAGAATAAACGTGAAAAAATTAAATTTTGTGGGCATATAATTAAAGTAATTATTCTCCATCGTCTTTTTTATTATTAAGTAGTAAATGCTACGTACAAAATCGAATAATTTAATACATTATTTGATGACATACAAGAAAAAAATATATTATAATTTGATCAGCTGGAGACTATCGAAGCTTTCATTTCCTATTATAAGCATGGGCAGTCATGTTAAAAACCATTAACATTCCACCGATTATCATCAATGAATAATGATTAAGACGTCGTATTTGTCTATTAAGACCTATATAAAAATGTAATTAATATTTTAAACATATTTTTCTATATTTGTTTAAACTCTAAGAGGATAATACAAACAAGAAAAGTAACTCTTATAAATTGATTTTCCAGTTATTTTAACATTGTTTATACTTCGAAAATCCGGTATAATCAGGTTGTTTTTTTTTNAAAACTCGGGGGTAATTTCTGCATATTAATGTTAATGTGTTTGTGTGGGTGTAGGTGTGGAGGGGCATGATTTTGTTCATCCTGTTTGAAGTTTATTTTTTCTCATGTGCATTTTGTTGAAAATTTCTAAAATTTTGCAGGGAGGTGTTTGTATTAGGAGGATTGATACTATTGACTTTTGGTGATTAAAGGTTGACAGAGTCAGGAGATAAATGGAAATAGTGTGTCATACCTTGAACAAGATCAGACTTAATGATGATTTTACTTCTTATTAGCATTTACAATTTTTTTAAAAATCCATCTCTACTACTTTAAAATCATCTACTACTCTATTTGCCATTTTATAATAATTAGGCCAATTAACTATATGAACTTCTGATGCAAACCAGAAGTCACATTATTTCAATTCAAAACCTTTTCCTTAAAAGGAGTTTGATAGATGATTGGCACGACTCCATTGCTAACAGAAAAGTATGATGTACAGGGGCAAGACACTATAATACTAATTTGAGATGGAGAGCATATATTTTAAAGTTTATTTAATTTAAAATATATGCTCTCCATCTCAATTTTAAAAAATATAATTAAAAATTGCAGCCGAGCATTGTGATGATGTCACAATAAATAATTGCTCGTTAAAAATATAAAAAGTTTTTTTTAGTAAAATATCATAACAGATGGTACCTCACACACAGTTTTATATGTTGCCAGAAAAGTTAAGCAACTTGCTGTTGAATTTTTTCATTTGTAATTTTTACTTTTCTTTATTATTTACATAGGCTGTTTTTTTCAAACTCCGATGATCCATAAAAAAAAAGACAAGTGTAAATAAGAAACTGAATTTATTACTAAAAGTTAGGTAAAAACATGGTTACTTTTTGACATAATCACTGTGAAGACTGATGCATTTTTCATATCTGTGGACAAGTTTTTCCATCCCCTTGTCATAGAATCTTGCAGCCAATGACTTGAGATGGGCCCTAACATTGTTTTGAAGATTGTCATTAGTCTTGAACCTCTGCCCTCCTAGCCACTTTTCCTATTCAGGAAAAAGGTGGAAGTCATTTGGTGCTAAATCAGAACTATACACTGGGTGTTTAAAGGTGGCAAAGACTTCCACCCAGCTTAAAACTTTTTAATGTGTGAAGACTTCCACCTCTTTCCTGAAGTGAAAACGTGGCTAGCAGGGCAAAGGTTTGAGACTAATGACAATCTTCAAAACAATGTTAGGGCCCATCTCAAGTCATTGGCTGCAACATTCGATGACAAGGGGATGGAAAAACTCATCCACAGATATGACAAATGCGTCAGTCTTCACAGTGATTATGTCAAAAAGTAACCATGTTTGTATCTAACTTTTGGTAATAAATTCATTTTATTATTTACACTTGTCTTTTTTTTTATGGACCATCGGAGCTTGAAAAAAACTGCTCTTGTATTTTTAAAAATTGCTTTAATGAAAAAGAAACAAACTAAGTTAACAAACGAAGTCCAAGCACTTTTGAAATTTTTATTTGTTATTAGTGTCTATGTAGAGATTTTTGTAATTTTTAATTTATTTATCAATTTAAAAATCAGTTTTATTTTTACGTAAAATTAATAAATCATTTACTGATCAATATATGTTTACTTTATAAACTTAGACAGTTAAATGTTAACTTTAAAACAACCTACTCTAAACTGTTCATATTCTATCTATAGTCTTAATAAAAATGTAGTTTTGAACAATATATTTTCTGTTTCTATGATATAATTTTCATTATATTTTATTTTTTAAGTTATAAAACATTTCTACAGTAAATTATTATATTTTCTGTAACACAATTTATAAAAAGCTACTTTTTTTTTGAATGGTTAATATTCCATATATAAACTGCAATATATAAATGTAAATGTCTTTATTGAAAACTAATTTGTTATGCTTGGCTAAGCCAGGGTTTATAAAGTACCCTCGCAGTAATTGTTACTCCCAGCATTATTAATCATAAATTTCAAAAATGTATGTGGTAAAACCCATTTTAAGAACATTATCAGAATACCTATAAACCGTGTGGAAAGTTTATAAAAAAAATTATTAGAATTAGCTTGTTTTTTGCGACACATGGGTAATCTGCTAAGGAATATTAGTATTTATGTTAGTAACATCTAAATAGGGGCCTCCTGGAAAGACTTTTATGGGAATCTGGCCCCTATTTAGGTGTTACTAACATAAATCAAACCCTAAAAATTCCACATGGCCAGCCCGTTATCAGTACGCAAACCCACAAATACTGGTGTTTGGTGGTTTTATCTACTCAGCCATGGATGGGCACTTATTAGAATTAAGTACCATTCAGAAATGAAAACCTGAGTTGTTAGATGTGGAAAATAAAATACTGATATAGCTTTCACAGTGTAATATTTTCAACTCCATGCAGGTGAGTGATATCTGCTACAAATAAAGAATCTTCAAATACTGGATTAATACCGGTTAAAGGTTTGATGAGGGATTATTTTTGTATGATATCTGCTACTTGTCACAATAGTGATATAGCACACTTTGCATTATATCATTGTTGCAGTAATTAAGTGAATATATTTGTTTTTTTTTAATTATAGGCTACTCTTTTTGTATGAATTATTTTTAGTTTATTATTTTTTAATGTTTTTTACCAATAAATGGCACTTCATGTAAATCTAGCAAATCCAATGTACATTAAAATTAACTGATATATAGAAATGCAATAAATATTTTGGAGTGGTATGTACAGTACATCATCTAAGGGTATATTCCAGTATGCATCAAACAGCAAATTGGTGAACCATGATGTACAAAAATGTGTTCCAATATTCACCGATGCAGCAACTGCAACCAATGCACATTACACTTATTGGGTTATGGATATGGTGAACTCTAATGAAGCAATATGGCTGTCTCCATGGTTATATTTAGATACTTTATAAAACCATCATAAAAATTGAATAAGACGGTTAGCATGTAATATTACTTAATCCTATATGTTGTAATTAAACGTATGATTTAACAATAATTTAAAATAAGCAAAGAAACATTCTCATTTATAAATANACAGGAATTTTAAAAAAAAATCATTAAAATATTTGATATATTTATTCTGCTCTCCTATCTTGTATTACAGATTTCAATGTTAAAACATATTTAATGTTGCAAACATGGTTTTTAATACCTTCGTTTTATAAGTTGGAAGAAATCAATTAAGCTGAAATTTCAAGTAGCCAGATATAAAAACGTGTTTCAAATGGAAAAACAAATTATAGTTTAATTGAATAATTTTAATGTCGATCGTTCTGCTACAATTAATGTGATCGGTTAATCCAGGGCTTCTTAAACTATGAGTCGTGACCCCATTGGTGTCGCTTAGCGAAATCTTGGGATCGCGAGATTTTAATGCAAAATATTGAAAATAATTTGTGAGGGTTTGAAAATGGCACGCTTTGTGCTATAGGTTTCGTGAGTTGCGCTTTGTGTCACTTCTGGTGCAGCGAGACGATTCAACAACACTGATTGTAGTGTGAACTAGTGTAGTGTCGTCGCTTTTCAGTGTATTCAGTTGTCTCTGTTCCATTGTAACACAAGAGTGAACTGTGGTAGTACACCATTATTGTTTTTGCAAATTTGTATATATCTTTATTTTATATTTTTTGGGGGTCGCGAAAAAAATCACAATCATAAATGGGGTCGTGAATAAAAACAGTTTAAGAAGCTCTGGGTTAATCAATTTGACACTTTCTTTCGACTTCGTCTGCAAGTGTTGATACAGCTTTGAAACTTTTGCTCGTATTTTTCACGCCACGATATTTTATTTTTTTACGGCTAAGAATTTTTTCTTTTTTTACTTTCATTACTTACAACGCGACAATTTTGCTTTCGGAGGAATGTTACATTTATTTCCAAATTTTGTCATGTCTGTGAGAGTCTGGATTTTTCCGATCGACATTCTAAACATTGCAGTCCGTTAGTTCGTGTCGATCTGTCAAGAGAGAATGCCTCCCGGGAGAACTTTCTTTAAAAAAAAACCGGCGAAAAAACCCAGAACTACACGCAGCCAGCCCGATAATGAGGCGCAAACTCACGTGGTCATGGGTTTGCGTACCAGGGTTCAGTAGTTTATCCACATAGCCACTGGTGGGTCATTCGCAACAAGAAAGCACAGATAAGTAAGAAACACAACTGAGGGGTGCACAGCTAACAACGGGCTGTCAGAGGAGCGTATTAGCTATAAGAAATAATGTAAACGGAAGGTAGCGTGTGTCATGAGTGTCAACTGTCCCACTCCCAGAGGAGCATTCCAGTGCTTTGTTCCTTGATTTCGCAAATACCGTAATTTTTCTCTCAAGCTGAAAATTTTTGGTATGTCTTCAAATAACATTTTGGCAACTGTTCCTGTTCTAAAATTTTTGATTTCTAGAATATGAACGCTTTCATATTTTAGAAATTAATAAAGTGGATTTCAAAAAGAAGGCAAAATTCGCATTACTTTATAACGAGGAAATGTAAGTAACCTCTACGTTTTCGAAGAAGTAGAAACTCCCTTCTACGATTTTCAAAGAGAATTTTGCATTTTTAAAAAATTTATAAACTACGTCCTTCAAAGCATGGTAACGGTCCTTCATTGTCCCTCACTATTGTCTCTCACTGTTATAATATATGGTTTGACAGAACTGTGTGTCTAACGCTAACCTAAACAAAGAAAAATCAAGGATTCATAAAATGAAGTTAAGGGAAGGGTTCGAAACAAAAATAATGCATATTTATCGGGTACTTGTATAGAATTTGATCATGAATTTTATTATTTTATTATTTATCAGACCATACTAAAAGCTACAAAAGGCTGAAAGTTCCCCATCCCTGTATCTTATTATTCAATTTAAGTGAGTTAAGTGTTTTAGGCTTAAAATTTTATCAATTTAAAAATTATTTTTTTTCAAACTGCAACTTTTACAAACTGAGCAGATATATTGGAAAGTTACACAATTTAACATCTGGATATACAGTATATGGACATTTAGAAAAGATTGATGGGTTTTAATTTCATCTGAAGCCAATATTCTGTTCTAGATATTTATAAAAATTTTAAGCAGGTTTTTGCAAAGTTTCATTAAGAAATTTAAAAATAGATGCAACCTGATTTTATATAAGTACATAGCATTTCCCATTCTCTTAATACAGAGCTGAAGTAAAATGTGACAGATGTTGTTAAAGATAGTTAAAGCATTGTGCTTTGGTTGGTTGGTTTGTTAACTTTGGTGTAAGGTCCATTTTGACCAAGCTGTACTATAAAACAAGATTAAAATATATAAATAAATGCTACAAAAATAATATATGGCTGTAAATATAATTTATAACAATAACAAAACATCTAAACAAAACTGTACAAACAACAAATAGAAACAAGAGGTCAGATGAGATGAAGTATTTATTTGATTCAAAGATGTCTTCACTCAGCATCAGCACAACAGAAAAGTTAGTGATAATAATATTGGAAGATACTTTATTGAACAGAAAAAAAGGCTCCAACTAAGATTCTGCAATCTGAATATACATATATATTTTTTCCTTACAATTTTTCAGCTTTCCTGTAGTCACTGAAAGGCTCTTTTTGCTATGTCCATTGTGGATTTTGCCAGGTTCACAATGGAGTGGCTGGGTGGTGAGGAATGAGGCTCAATATAGCCAACATAGAACCACCCATGAAAATGCCTGGGATGATTTGCTTGCTCTGATTTGATCCCAGATCCCCCATAGTGGCAGGCTGATGCCTTAATAACCTTGGCCATTCAATCAGCCAATAAGGACATTAAAAGGCTAAGAGTTGATATGAATTAATGGACTATACTGTAATAGTTGAAATTTAATTGGTTATTGTTATATTCAGCACTTTGTAAAGTTTGTTTACATTTAGATGTGGTTTGTAGTTTTATTGGACTGCAATTTTCAAATTGCACACCTATAAATTTCTACCATTTATCTGTCTAACCATCCTTTGTTAATCTTGAGAATGAAGTAAGATAGATGAAAATTGAGACCAGATATGGAAAGCTTAGGGATCCAGAAGTCCCAATCAATTGAAGTGCTGTATTATATGTTCTATTTAAGAACATTAAATAATGAGATACAAGAGAGATTTTTATTTATAGATATATTTATATAGATATAGATATAATTATATTTAGTTATTTACATCTTTTATTTTCCATTTTGTTTCAATTATTTTGAATTTTGGGAGTTGAGTTATGTTAAACTCAACTGCTATCTCAATACTTTGCAGTTGGTATTTCATTTGCATAATCTCGTACTAACATTTGCATAATGAACAGAATTGTATCCCACTAATTTAGGGTTTAAATTTTTAAACCCTAAATGATTAAAATATTAAATAATATTGTACTATATTCTTTAACCTGGTAATAGTAGAAACACTAATTAAAAAACATTTTATTTATTTGTAAGCAAGTTCAAAATGCAAATTAACATTATATAAAAGACCAATGCTGAATTGACATAGCAAGCTAAACTTCAATCCTACCAATCAGTGCATAAATGTGGAATTGTAAACTGTAAATAATTGGTTGAACTGGTATTGAGTAATGGTTATTCTTCTACTAAGTTCTTTTCCCTAATGAGGTTAATCATTTGAGATTTCGAAAAACTGTAATTTTGTAAATAGTATTAAAAAGTATTTTATTGTTGTAAATATTGAATTTGTAATATTTGAATTTTATACTAATGTATTGTTATTGAAATTATAACTTATTGTTTTGTACTCAGAAAGTCCAGTATTGCAATTTTAGGTTTTTTTTTTCCTTTTGTGAACTATGCTTTTGGCATTTTGGTCCTTGCAAAATTCAAACAGCTGCTTTGTATTTAGAAGTGTTTGATCTTGTTTTAAAGTTATCTGAAAATAGGATGATTTGTATGCTGAAAAAATTAAACAACGTCTAGTGTTTTTGTCTTTGAATATAAAGCTGAAAATGTAATTAAAATTTAATTTGAATTATTAAAATACTTAGAACAAATTATATTTATCTCATGAGCAAATTTCATAATAAATTAACTGAAAAAACTTAATTTTATGCTAGAAACAATCAATTTCTTTAGAATTAAAAAAATATTATAATTCACCTTGTACAGTATATTACACAGTAATATAAATTTCTGATAAATAAACAAAAAATTTAAATATAATTCTTTTTAATATGAAATCGCAAATTAATAATCACATTCTTTAAAAATATCTAATAATATTAAAATTATTAAAATTTCAAAAAAGTTATTTTGGAGTTAAACTGGAAGAGTTAAAATCATAATCAGATTTACTTAAACAAATAATAATAATATAGTAAATATTTACTTCTTCCCATTTATCCTCTGCCCAACCTTCTTCATATTTCTTTGGCTTAAGATTAGAAATGTAATCATTCAAGTCTTCATTTAATTTTTGAATGAGCTGATTTCTTTTTTCTGATTTCTTGTCGGCCATTATTTCTATAGCTTCAAAATTTAAAATGAAAATATTAATTATATATATGTATAGTTGTTATGTACATATATAAATTTCACGCAAATATTTTTAAAGTGATTCATGTAATACATAAAAATTATAAAATACTATTAATATTTATTTACTTTTTTATCTTCATAATGCAAAATTTTATATTACCTTATATGCAAAATAAGAATATCTATGGAAAGTCCAATGGTAGCTCTACTCTTTGAGTTACTTGTATGCGAATTAGTGAGCCTGACAATATCTTCTATTTACATTTACTTATTTATTTAAGCATATACTGGATACACTCCATGAAGCGGGGAGAAAAACAATCATTTATAAATACAAAACTCTTGGTATTAAATACAATCAACATTACAAAATTAAAACAAAATAACATTAATTAAATTAGGGAGCATCTGCCTGTATAAATTAAAACAACAAAAAAAAAATAATAATAATACTTCTTACCTATAAAAGACAAGATATACGTAACAAAGCCACCGATTAACAGATGCTCCCCTTCTATTTACATGAAATACTCTTTTATAGAAAATGCATATTGATGAAATACTTATAATATGGAAAAACAAACCACAGATTTAAAAATTTTTTTTTTTTTTTTACAAAAAGTCAACAGTAATCCGTACTGATCCAATAATCCATTAGTCGGATAGGAAAACAATAGAAACAGACACTTCCTGGATAAATATCTAAAGTATTAAGTCAGAAAACTATAAAAACTAATATCTATATCAAACCAACACACAACCTGCTATTATATATAAATTTTTGTCTCAAAGATTCAAACTAGACTTCTTATTAATCAAGCAAAAAAAAATACTGTATATCTCTATTAAACTTGAACGTATTAAGAATATAGCAATGGATCATTTCATACCTGGACAATAAAAAGACTAATAAACAATTACACAAAAAAAAAAAACAGGATAATCCTTTACATTCCCTTACGTTCCTCTTGGCAAACCACGTGGTACGAATGTAGGAGTGTTTATGTTTGGTAACAAATCTAAAGAAATCATAGCCAAATATTCTCTCGTTGTATTTTCTGTTTTCTCCTTTTCTTTATTTGTATATTTTATTTAAGATATTAAAATAATTATGCGGAAACTTTAATATCTTCTTCGTAAGGTTTACAGAATTGACGCTGGACAGTGCGATTAGTTTTGACTGGTGTTCGTGGCGAGGCTAGTGTTTAGTTACAGTACAGTACGTTCCTTGTAGTTATAACAGTTTAACTAGCAAATATATATTAATTGTAGTTTCTTGCACAGTAGATAGAGAAAAGATCGCTCAGAAATTCGTTTTCACGGATAAATATTTTGCATATTGAATAATTTGCGTGTTGTTTGGACAACTTGAAAAATCTACATTATGTAACAATTGCATTTGCATGCTACAAATGAAAACTTGTCCTCTAAAAAACATATACAATGTCGTTATTATGTATATTCTCGTTTAGTACAAAAAAAACAAGCTTATAAAACGGGTAGTTGATACGAGACGTGAAAACTGGAAGCCTACAAAGAATAGTATTTTGTGTAGCAACATTTAATGCATATACGTTATACTGATGAAGAAAGATTGTGAAATGTGATGCCATATCATGTATTTTTTATTGTCCCAAACATTTCATCAAACAATCTAGAAAAAGAAAGCTTCAAACATTATCCATTGTTTAGGCATCAATCGTAATCGCATAATAACGTCAGGATGGCCGAGCGGTTTTTAAGGCGCCAGCCTCAAGGTAGACCCTTCCTGTAAATTCGGGAGCGTGCATTCTGGTCCACGATAGTGGGCGTGGGTTCGAATCCCATTCCTGACACGAACTTTTCTTATGAGCGGTTGATTCAAAAATGTCTACTTTAGTGTAACTTAAGCGCCTGGAATTCTTTTGATTCGAAACTGTAATGCTAATTGAGTCAGAACTTTGCAACATGTTGAATTCCGTTTTGAAACCGTCGCTAAAGTAAAATAAACTTATGGAAACGTTGCAAAGCGTCGAGCAGAAACTCTGCTTCGCCGCACGTGTATGAAGCACAGTTTCTGTTCTAAATTCAAAGCAAAAAAAGTTTCTGAATTGTACTGTCGCTGTCGCCTTCAATTGCATGAAAGATGACAGGGCGAAGAAAAAAAAAAGGACCCCACCGAGATTTGAACTCAGATCACTGGATTCAGAGTCCAGAGTGCTAACCATGGGACCTCGCCAGACCCGCCTGTCTCATATCACCTTAATGTAATTGCAGATTGCCTTATCGACTATCGCGTAAAGATATCGCCGCATCTGTTGTTGCCAATAGTGGAAATCTCTCCGTGTACACTTTCTCGTTAAAAAGCGAAGCTGTTGCCACAAATCTGTCGCGAACAGAATGACGGTTGCTGTCGGCGGACGTGCTGAAAAAGAATTTAAGAAACGTGTTTCGTTTCGTCGTGTGGAAAGCAAACGGATCGTAAATTGTCGATGGCTCTCCGTGATCGATGTATAAATAATCGAATCATTAATTCGTTTCAAGCGTACCCCTGTGTTTTTATCGGAAGCAGTCACGGCGCTCGCACCACAGAGGTGCAATGCGAGTGTCAGTTGGAGAACGTCGCGATTTCCGCAACGAAAGACAGCGTGCGATCGAAGATACTTAACGAATTTCAGCCGAATCGTTAAACGACGCCCATCAAATTAGTTAACGCGAAGAAAGGCGAGGANTAAAAATGAATAAATACTGCAGTTTAATAATATAAAGAAAAGGAAAAAAAAACTCTTACGAATCTTACTGAAGTTCTGTATTTTGTTTCTAAAAACTTCTTTCACTGCTTGTCTGACCATTAAATCTAATTGAATTACTCTAGTATCTACAGAACTGGTTTAAAATAAATTCAAATTTATTAATTAGATATCGATAAATAAATAAAAAGGAACAAATGATATTTATCATTTAAAAAAAAAGACTTAAGTAATAATCTAAAAAGTAAACCAGTTTCAATTTTCGGAAAGATTAGACAATCTGAACCTGGTCCCTTTAGTAATAATGGAAAGTTATATTGAATGATTAGTATATATGGCCACATAACAACAAATTCTACTGATCAGAGAAATCCAGGTTCAAATATCATCTGGTCACTTGATCTTAATTTATTCAAATTTCTATCTACACTAACTCAATCATTCTTACCATACGTTGAAATTATTTTTCACTGTTGCATTGTTGTTCAAATAATAAGAGTGAAAAAGTTAGAGAATTTTATTCCANGTAATAGTAGGTATTAATCGCCTCTAAACTTTGTTGATAACTAGTTTTGAAATAAATTTTAACCACTGTTATGCATATACTAATAAAATCGCCCTACTAAAAAGTCATAGATCAGGGATAGAAATTTTTAAGTGTGCAAAGCTAAAATCGCCAAATCTATTAATCAAAATTTTCTCACCGAAATTTTTGGGACATTTATTATTATTTATTATTGAAGATGTTACGTAAAAGCTATATTTAGAGGATTTTCCATTAAATTAGCAATCTGGGTATTGCAGATATAAGTGTCTTAGAAATATGATATTTCTTCCATTCTTTTATTACTTATTATTTAATAAAACAGTTTATAGTGGCTGTTTTATATTCTATTTTTGTTTAGTATTAGTCCATTCTATTAATAAATTAAAATATACAACTCGACGAAGATGTTAGATATTAATTTATTTTAAAGGTGAATCGTATGTTGAGTGCCACGTTTGGCACATGTTTCAAAAGTTGCCTATCCCTGTTATAGATTATTAACAATACGTTTCAAAGTCCGATACCATTCGAAAATGCAGCTCAAACATATGAACGTGTGTAAAATATATAAATTCAAATTTTTCAGTTACTAATTTTTGGAAATTTTTTATTTAATGTTTTTAAACGGCGGTTGATGAATCAACAAATAACGGGCATGTAGTTTTTGAAAATACAAGTAAACTTTTATTTATTGTTCTGCAATTTGAAAAAATTGTATGTCCTTCCTTGCTAAATCTCAAGAACGGAGTTAAATAGATAAAAGCCGGCAACAAACGTGGAAACAGTAAGAGCAGGAGGCTCCGATTAACTATATACAAACTTTTAATTTAAACCTTATATCACGATATTCAAAAATTTCCTCCGAAAAGACCGTCACACGACTCGATTGCTAAAGAGAAAGTATGATGTGCAAGGGGCAAGCCACTACCAATCTGAAGTAGACAGATTATATTTTTAATATAAAATAATTGCTCGTATTTCTACAAATATTATTAAAAAGTATTAAATAATTTTTTCCTATTGTTATAATAGATATGGCCTATTTAAAATCCAGCAAATTAATACGTCTCGTAAATTCAAGATAAACAGCACACGTTGATAAGTTAAATTAGCATCTAACCTCAAAATTCAAAATCAATTGGCTGAATTTGTAATAATTTTCCGTCGTATCTTAACTTGGAATTTGCCACTGAATAAAAATAATTTTTTATTTTTGCATGTCTTGACAAGGAAAAGCAGAAACAAAATCAACTGTAGCTATGTATGCTTACAGTATTTATACAAGTAGTGACTGATGTGTGACACGAATCGTTCTTACACGTGGCAGAATGAGTTCTACTTTACAATAGCGTCGAATTTCCGGAGAATGCGGATCGAACCAACAATGTATTATTAAAAACACAGTTTTTTTCTTTCTGGAATAAAATACACATAAATAAATTAGAGTATTTAAAACACATACGTCATCGCCTTTTTCTATACATTACAGAAAACACCAAACTAATTTTTAACAGATATATATATATATATATTCTAAAATAGCAGTGTTGTATTATTAAATAAGCAAAATTGCATATCATTTATTTAGTAATTTATGTTTAAAAAAGAATATACCGCCTACATGTTTGACAATGTATCAGAAAAAATAGGCCTATGGCAAGAGCTCTTACTGAACATTCCTGGCACTAGAACAGTAAATTATGAGAACCGTTAGGAAGTGGGATAATTTTTAATTATATTAGGGAAAAATTTAATCATAAAAAAAAGTAATTTTGTTGAATGATGATAAAAAAAATTGCTATCTAAGAAAATATTTAAAGTTTAAAAACATTATGAACTGGCTCAGAGCTAAAATTGTGTGTGTGGCGCCTTGTGTTATGACATGATACGGTACTATCTTTTATATCATTAATATTTACAAATAATATATAGCAGCCAAATCATACGTTATGAGTGCAAAACTTTTTAAGTTTCTGTCTCCCAGCTGTACCGTACTCTACTTGGTCAAGTTCTACAAATAGAGTGGGCCTAAATTCTTACTCGTTTTGCCATTTATAATATATTTAAAAAATCATCTCTACACTAAAGCTTTTTTGTCTTTTTTATTTAAAAAAAAGGCAAAAAATACCGTACTCTACTCGACCAAGAAAAATAATAAATCAAGAAAACCTCAAAATTCAGTTCTCAAAACAAAAATCAGTACAAGTCGACCCCCCTAAAACACTGTTGATAATTCCGTTTTATATGAATTCCATGTTGTGCGAGTCACTTAGATTTTACAAATACGTGCGCCGGGCTGTGAATGGCTCACGTATTTGTAAAATCTAAGTGACTCGTACAACACGGAATTCATATAAAACGGAATTATCAACAGTGTTATAGGGGGTCGACTGAAATTTAGTAATTCGTGGATATAAAAATAATTTATTTTTATATCCATGAATTACTAATTTTTTTTTTTTGTTTTTAACACTTACCTATTGAAACTTAATAATTCTTGTATCAATAAGTTTCAATTTTCATAATTAATACAATCATTAAGACAAGACTAGATATGGAATTCTTGGGGACAGAGATCCAGATTAACTAAATACAAACGTTCTATA